GATGTATAGGTACCGAGCCATGCTAAATTATATTGCAAAAATGAACTCAACAGTAAAGGTTAATAATTTACAAAGAAAAATACAAGAACACTTTAACACGTAATTAAGATGATAAACAATATCAGTACCTAGAATCTATACTTCATGACCATTATGTTTTATTTGTGAAGTTGATACGGAATATTTATCAATAAGGTCTTTGCATCTTAAACGTGAGCAAAGATAACGACGCAAACAATATGAAAATGATAACAAATACATGGCTTGCATAAATTATGAAGATTCTTATAGAATCATAACGATAATTACGAAAAACTGAAAAAACGCCATGTTGACTTGCTGAAATTCATCAACGTGCTAATAATGCAATAGAAAAAAAAAAGGGAAACAAGACTAATATTTTTGAGATATATCCAAAATTTTGAGTATACAAGTAACGGAATAATCTTTTTTTTATTATAATTTTATATATTTTTAAAGCTTCAATGAATAATTCTTTTTGTTATGCATTGCAGTTCTGTATGTTTTCAAATTTTAGCACAAAAACTCGACATAGTGTTTTCACATAGGTTCCAATACATTAGCACTTACCAGGGAGGTAACCTGATACAGCCATATATATGTACATCCATTCATTATAAGTCTGCTCAAAATTGAGATATCTAGGTTGTTTTTCGTATTCGTTTTTATTCTGTAGTTAGTCACCACTTCGGTGTTAACATGTATATCAATTATATGGTCATTTTTATATTTTATAAATTTACTGTTTGCAAAAATATTAATTATTCTAAATACTAAATATTTTCTTATCCCAGGCAGATAACCTACCCGTATTTGGCACAACGTGTTGGAATTTTGGGTCATCAATGCTCTTCATCTTTAGGCCTGGCACCTTTGATAACTATTAGTTTGTCGTAATGTTCTATTGTATTGTTTTTTTGTGTGTTTCTCTGTCCTATATGTTCTTCCATTTATTTGTATTGTAACCTTGTCATGTAATGTTGTCATTTTAGTGTTATATTTAACATTGCCATTAAAGCGGGAGGTTTTGCTAGCCACAAAACCAGGTTCAACCCACCATTCTTTCTTAAAATGTCCTGTACCAAGTCAGGAAAATGGCTATTGTTATCTTATAGTTCGTTTCTGTGTGTGTTGCATTTTAGTGTTTCTGTTGTGTCTTTGTTCTCCTCTTATATTTGATGTGTTTCCCTCAGTTTTAGTTTGTAACCCGGATATGTTTTTTCTCAATCGATTTATGAATTTTGAACAGCGGTATACTACTGTTGCTTTTATTTATAATGCTGTTGTTTACAAAGCAAAAGCAGCACGTCCTATTAGAATTTCTGTTGTAAGTAGCATTATCACAATAAATGAAAAGATGATGAAATTATGGCTGGGGCAATCTGTACATATCCGTGCTCATCTGTAACCGATATAACAACTAGTTGATTGACTGCAAGCGAATTGTTTTAATTTACCGCAGTTGAGAAGTCTGAAAAGTGTCTGAAAGACTTGAAATCACTATATCATTAATTGTTCAGTCTTTCACGAGCTATTCAGATCACACTAACCACTGCAGATCAAAATTGGCTTACTAGAGCTTGCCAGTGATATATCTTGTAAATATTTAGCAAAGAAAAACATACACACAAGATAGTATTTTATAACGATTAAGTGCTTTTTCTGTTGTTGCATGAACAATGTATACTTTTAATATCAAATTTTATAATCTTTGTACTTTGTGTATCAGTTATTCATGATGGTGTTTATTTGTTTTTGAATTTTATTTCACAGGTAAAGGTCCTTTTGTGTCATAGCTCTTCAACTGGTTCGATTCTTATACATCCTTGGCTTTCAAATATTCGGCTTTGAGCGTTCCCGATGAAGGTAAACGAGCAAATCGCTTAGGACGCATGACATTTATAAAGTGTTGTTTTTATTCTTCATTATTAAATCGTTTAGTCGTTGTTCTTTTTACTATCAGTGATCCGACAATGATGGTGTTCTATGTTTTTAAATTTTTTTTGACAAGGTCCCTCCGTGTGAAAAACAGATTTTGGAAATGAATATTTTGGACTGGCTCAAAATGTAAAAAGTAATCTTGCCAAAGGCAGGATGAAAATAAATATATTGTCCTACAAAATGCAAGACTTTGTAATATAGTTGTGTTCAGAAAGAGAAATTATTTTTCACTCGAAATAGATGAGCCGTACTATCAACAGGTGTAGAATGAATATTTCATCCGCCAAAAAATCCCGCCTACCACTGGAAATCAAATGGTCGTCTCCTAAGTTTATTCAAGTTAAAAATTGTTTGTTTTTGTCATATAAATAGGTAAAAAAAAACCTTTCATAATATTGTTATAACAATTTTATTTAATATATGTTTCTTCCTTGAATATGTATAATAAAATTCACGTTCTCACTGCCTAGTGTGTGTACAGGTCACCTACACAATGCCTAAGTAGGAAATCGACTGCATGTAGACAAAACCCAATTCAAACAACATGTAAACAGTCTTAGAGTTAAGGGTAAGCGTTGAGTACACTTACACAATACCGAGTTAAGCTCAAGATCAACACAGCATATGTCAGTTTGATTAGAATAGCCTACTAAACCGTTACAGAAATATGTTTCTTACAGTTTCGTCTTTAAGAATTTTTTTTAAATTAAAAAAGAACGTAAATGTATATAATAAAATTCCTATGCATTGGTCAGTTGTGAACGATGCCTGAAAAGAATTTGTAAGATAACAAATCGTTATTTAAAAAAACGGAAGTTCTTAATATAAATATTTTCTTCTTTGTTTTACAAAGCCATCTCACGATGTTTAGATTAAGCACAAACATTTATAAATGTTATTGTATGATATATGAAGTTTATAGTTTAATCAAATTACTGTCATTCGATTGGTTCGTCTTCGATGCCATAAGATGAATGTGTATATCAGTCTGACTACTGTTTATCTATCATATCATTACAATTCAATTTAGAATCGTCCTTTGTAGGGGATTTTTTGCTATGTTTTACTAATAAATTGGGCGTTTTGTAGATCAATATAGGTTAACATTGACAATAAAATATCACTTCACTAGAAGGGCTGTTTACATTCGAGGGAGATCTTTCATTGTCAATATTAACTTATATTTGAAATTCTACTATTACAAATTTACTTGTGTCCGAAACCAATGTGAATGTAAAGGATTAATTAATTTGTATTATGTTTATTGTATTTTAATATAACACTATATTGTTATTAAATGGGTGTTTTCATATTAATCCTGTATTATGTTTAAGTACAGTCGTATTAGGTCGAGGTTAGCTGTATTGGCTCGAGGGGTGGTAGAGGGCAAATACAGCTGATCGAGACCCAGTACGACTGCACAAGGACATAATACAGAAGTTATATGAAAACACCCATTTACTGACATCTTTATTAACTAATAACTTTTAAAATATAACCACCAAAAGCTGACTGATGGATAAACACGACTGTAGGAAGACTCATACATGATCAATATGAACTTTTTGGGTTAATTATCATTTTAATGCAAGGAATGTCGAACAACCTTAAAAAATAATAATGTGCGATGCATTACCCCTTTATTCACCGACAAAAAAACACCTTTGAGTCTCTCGATTCTTATACGAGTTATCTCCCATCAAAATGACGACACTGACGAATGTAAACAAAATGGAAACGTCAAGGTAAGAATTGTTCCGTGGACTGGAGTGAAGAAGAAACAAGTATTTGAAATCCATCTGATGCCGAGGATAACAGCCGTTTTCAGGGCCACCAACACTTTACAGAAAGAGTCTTCATTAGTTGTACATTTTAAGTCACAAATAATTCTTAACGTAAGTGTTGTGACAAATTATTTGTTGCTACAGTAATGCATGTACAAGAGACACGTATTTTCAATGGCCCGTTGGTATAGTTAAACAAATGTGCCCATTGGAAGCGGTGCATATCCAAGATTGTCAACCTTACAAATTTCTCTCACTTCGAACTGCACCCTCAGGCTCAGAGAAATAATCTTTATCTGTTCACAAATCTGGATATTGACACTTTCTACTATCCATAATTGTATATACTCAAACAACAACATCTCTACAACATACATGTTGAAATCTAATAATTCTCGTAAAACACACATCCATTTTCTGCACCATTTTTAACCGGAAGTTACAATCCTGTATTAAGACCGGTAAAAATTCTGTGAACCGCCTTTTTTTGTATTTGACCTGTATTAACGACCAGCTCTCAGACACATGGAATTGTTTTAAATGGACAATGTATAATGGAATTGAAGTAGTCGGCAAATGAAGTATAATATAGTACTGTGGATTCATTATTATGAAAAATAATAGTTTTCTTTTACAAATTGGGACTTGTTGTCTAATTGGCACTCATACCACATCTTCTTATATCCATTTCGTAAAACAAGGAAATCAAATATCCACCAAATACAAAAAATCCTTCATCCACGAGAGTGAATCCACAGTATATACAATATGAAATATCAACAGATACCCGAATTTTTACTTAAAGAAAAAGTAAAAAGAGCATTAACCACCTGGCTTCAGTTGTGTTTTTTCGGGTTAACGGTGCCATACATTTACTCTGTGTCCTGTTTTGTACTCTTATTTGACTGTCTATCATTTAATTATCAATATACCGGATAATTGTTTTATGTGGAAAACTCTGAATTACCCGGAGAAAATCACCAGGAATTTAAAATTTGCTATCCTTGTCAATTATTATCGTAGTCAAAACACCTCTCCACTAACAGGCCTTGATCATCGAACCTCAGAGCTGACAGGTTAATGATAACTTTAAATCAACAAAATTGACAAGATAGAAAAAAAAACCTACGAATGATCGGAGTAACCTGTTATATTATATCAAATGACATCAACAATTTAACACTTAAATTTGACAAATAATGCATACAGTAACATTTTTGTTTTGAATTATTCATTTATTTTGCATATATTGTGTTATAAGTTATCATAGCAGTTGACCGAAACCACTTTTACCGATATTACGACTAACAATTATTGAATTGTCCACTTAAGAGTTTTTTTCGTATATCATAGCTTATATTTTGCCATTTCTGATTCCACAGGCAACTATTTGTTCGGTATGTTACTCCGTATTTGGACTTCCTTACAGTTCCTGAAATTTGAACAAATTATGCAATTATACATTTATGTTACTTGTTCTGTCGTGTTTCTTTATAGTAGAGTCTTTAACATAGAGCAAAACCCATACTGAATAGTCGCAAAAGGCCTCGACATGACAAAATGGAAAACAATTCAAACGGAAAAATCATTGGTCTTATTTATGACAATCAATATACGAAAAATAGATATGATAGAGAGCAACACAACACAACCACTAAATTGCAGGCTCCTGACTCGGATCAGGCACATACAAAATATGACAGGGTTAAATATGTTTCTCTAATTCTTCGTCAATTTATCCCTTTGTGCACCCATTGTATAAAAAAAATTTAATCAACGTGTGGTTCGTTTGATCTCAGTTCTTCATTGGTTAAAATCCGATTATGACGTCGAATTTTCTTGCTTTCCTCTGAATTTCCTATTGTGACGGCATGAAAAAAGGCGACCATGCCTGATGACGTCACATAGAAAGAACACATCTTTTTGCAGATCATTCGAAAAGAAGGAATACATTTGCCTGCGTATTGTTTGAAAATCATTAGAGAAACAGATTCCACCACCAAATCTCGTGTAATACCATATTTATACACTCTCGACAGTTAAATTTTAAATATTTAAAACGCTCGGCGAGCCTCGCGTTTTAAATTTGAAAATTTAACTGTCTCGAGTGGATAAATATCGTATCACACTCGATGCAGTGGTAGAATCTATATTTATAACCTCAAAAGTCTCCCCTTTACTTTGAACAGTGTTGTATAAAAGTTATAAGCCTAGTACTTTTGATAACTATTGTCACAGCACAACCAATATAAATAAGCGCAAAAAATCAGTTGGACATGGCTTGACTCATCTGATAAGTATGAAGCAAAAAAAAAAAAAAAAACAACTCACAAGCAACAACTCGTTGACTGATCCTTGATCGTAAAATCAGCGTTAGGTATCGACTGGTCTGGTATCATATTAGTATATGTAACGGGTTTATAGACCCCCTTCCGAACCCTTATCCCTGTTGTTATCATCATCATTTGGTTCTACCTTCATTTTAGTATTATTTGTTTTACATACTTTCAGCTGCGAAATTTAGTAATTGAACTACATTTAAAAAATGAAACATGTAATTTTCTATATACACTTGATACTTTTATCACATGGTATTGTTCCCCCAGTCCCCCAAGGTTGGTTGGGGAATAGAAATATGGTCCGGTAAAAATGTGGACGTTTAATCCGTGCCCCATGTAAAGAGAGTACCAAGTTCTATACACGTTAAGAACCCTTGCAACAAATTTCTATGGGGTCCGTAGACATCATGTAGCAAGGCACCATTTCTGTCAAGATTTAATTTACCCTCATTTTGAAGTGCAAATTACCGACCCTCATCCCGGACGGCCTCTTTTACAGGGCCTACCTATTGTATTTGTTCGGGCCCTGAACATGTATAACATAATTGCCACTGGACGTTTAGCAATCAACAATCAATCCACCAATCAATCACATTTTATTGCGTTTCTCAGACGGTTTATGACGTTTTTACAGTTAATCCGTTGGATGTGTACTGATTGATATTGTAGTATAAGAAGACATGATTTAACTATTACTTGTATTTTGGGATGAACGCGCTTTTGGAAAATGTGATACTCCTGCCTTTTTCTTATGTGGTTGATTTTTTTTTGTGATTCGTGTTATGCCCTTTCGAACAGATTTTTACAGGTCGTTCTTACGTTGTACTGTAAAACTAGCGTATCAGGTTGGAAGAGGCTATAATTCACTGGTTTTCGTTGGTTGCTGTCAGCTATTTTTGTTTTTGAGTTGATTGTATAAGCATAAATGAAGCCGTTGGGATTTTCGTTTAACCTATTACACATTTTGTCATGCTTTTTGTGATTTCTGTTTTAATCTAAGACATGGAGACAACTAACGAAAACAAATAAATAAACGACTGCCAGACTTAGTGAAATAACTGTTGTCCTTAAAACACAACAAAAGTGTCAACTTGCAACGACACGACAGTCAAACTACATTACTGAGCTATTGTATGATGATTAACGATTTTAAATGTTGATAAGGGTCATATTTAAGTTCAGAATCATGACCTCTATTTTTCATATAGGCATAGTTTACATAGTTTACATTTTATAAATATCAGCAATATAAACCAGGTCCTTTATTGTTTGCCAAGTGCAAATAATAAATATTCGATAACAAAACACATGTGAACTTTAATCGATTGCTTACTTTTTGTACGACCGCTATAATCATTCGGTGAACAAAAGGTTTTTGAGCACATTACATGAAACTCTGATTCTGATATGAAGTTCATGTGGAAAATTCGATAAACATTCCATTGACAGAAAACAGAGCACTACATTCCAGAGCTGGAATTTAATCGAATTACTCACCTGATATCAAATATTCAACACCTTTATCTAAATTTACTCAACACGCAGCTGAACTTCTGTTAGAACGAACTTTAAGTGTATTCGGAACCTTGATCTGTAACATAAATAAGATATGAAAATATCGATAAGGTATGAATGTTTCTTTCAATTTAGAATCGACTTGTTACTTAACACTATCATTACTTTTGATTTGTATCTCGAAAAGTTTAATTTTCATCCCTGGATATTATATCTACTGTTTGCAGTATTTCGGTGTTTGCCAAAAATTTGCATATTTTTTTATTGAAATATGCCGCAATTTATATGTCAAAATCATTTTTAGAATAATAAATCCATTTCCATCACGCATAAATATGTTTTTCTTTTTACACGTTTACTTTTGGTCTTTTTTTGTTTTTTCAGCTCTTCAAGGTTTCAATTAGGTTTTGGATTTCGAATATTTTGACCTCAAGCATCACTGAAAAGAAATAAATTGTCGAAAAGCATCTATGCAGTAAAATTGATACCGCTATATAGATGATGTTCTTTCACCAAATAATTCAAAATTTGGTGACTATGTTGAACGCATTTATCCCATCGAACTTGAGATAAGGGATACAACAGATACAATTAAGTCTGCCTGATATCTTGACTTTCATCTAGAAATTGACAATGAGGATCGGTTGAAAACAAAACTTTACGACAAAAGAGTTGATTTCAGCTTCCCAATTGTGAACTTTCCATTTCTATGTAGCAACATTCCAGCAGCACCTGCATACGGAGTATATATCTCCCAGTTGATACGATATTCCAGGGCTTGTATTTCCTATCATGATTTCCTTGATAGAGAGTTCCTTGCTCACAAGAAAGCTATTAGATCAAGTAATCCAATTGGTGAAGTTGAATTTGTCCCATCGTAAATTTTACGGACGTCATCACGAGTTGCTTAACCGCTATGGAATATCCGTTTCAAAGATGACAACATATATGTTCCAATTGTCGTAACTACAATCCCGTCTAGTTTTCCCGAATGTGACCTACCGAATAAGACTTACCACCGGGTTTGTACGACGGGTGTCACATGTGGAGCAGGATCTGCTTACCCTTCTAGAGCACCCGAGATAACCCCCAGTTTTGGTGGGGTTCGTGTTGCTCAGCATTTAGTTTTTTTTTATTTTAATTTGTTTCTTGGAAATAAATACTCATAGAAGAGAGGACAGTCCTTATATTTTTTGGAATCAAATGCCCCACAGGTGTATATGCGTCTTATAAAGCATGTCCGTTTTGGTTTTTTTAACTGTTTTGATTTCAAGGAAGCGACTTGATGGCGTTATATGATAAATATATTCTAACTGTTGTATATGACAATACATAAACCTGTAAGCATTGCCCCGAATACAAACACAATTGTTGTGCGTAGTTGTCTCCCCCTTCGACTGTTATGTTTGTTTTCAACCTTTCAATGACATCTTAAACATAACAGAAAGTAATCTGAACCACAAAATTATCAAACAAATGTCATACCGACTTTAACATAATATTTATGAGATAAAATATTATCAAGAACATAAATTTTAGGTTTTTGAAGTGTAGCGATTTAAAACAAAAATGTGATTTGAATCTCAGTACCAGAATCTATGACAAACCTAACCTTTTCCTCACCTTAGCAGCAATATACCAACTTCACCCGCGTATGGAGTATACAATTCTCAACGCATACGATATTCAAGAGCTTGCAGCTGCTACGCTGACTTTGTATAAACGTCATCGCTGTCTGAGCAAAATAATTAGTGAGCCAGGGTTTTGTCAAAGGAACGTCTCTTCCTTTTTCACAAAATGTTCATTGGTAAATACCAAGAAATAATAGATAAATATTCCGTGTCTACTTCACAAATAATACAAGATGGTCTTGAATTATATATTCTAGGTGCTAAAGTTGTGTATCTTTTTAATTTTTTTTAGTTTTCCTTTTATTTATCTTTGAGCTATTATGTTTCATTTGGTCGTCTGAATTTTTACGTGACTCGGTATGCATCCCGCCTCCGTTTTTTTTTTCTTTTTTACTTTGGTTATTCATGGTGCAAGTAAGTCCTGAGGCGCGATTCGGATACAAAGGGTGTTTGCATTGTTATTTTTTTATTTTGTAAACCCTTGTATTTGTATTTGTATTTACTTAATATTCACTTTATCGAGAATGTGAACACTATATACGGTTTGTTCTATCAACGACAAAAAAAAAAAAAAAATGTTGACGTCATTGTCAAATTCACTGTCTACAACTTTTTTGTCGGCGTCTTTGTTAGATTTAGCTGTATGTTTGTTTAAATTTTTGAGTCAGTTGTGTTGTTCATCTTATTCTTACATTAACCTATTATGTCTGTTTGTGTTGCTCACCCAATTTTGTCAATATAACGGAACAATAAGCAACTGTCATACTAGTTGGAGATTTAGCTAGCTATAAAACCAGGTTAAACAAACCATTTTCTTCGGAAAATGCCTGCACCAGGTCAGGAAAATGGCAGCTGTTTTTCATATGTACTGTTGTTAGTGTTTGATTTTGTCGGTTTTTATGGATTTACTCTCTTTGAATTTGCCTTGAATTTCGATATTTTTGTTATACTTTTTTTAATGGGTAAAACAAAATGACAAAATTCAAAATAGTTTAGAGACTATGCTTGGTGAACATTTGAAGGATATTGATTGAAAGATTGATGATTATCTTTTATTTACAAATTCCTTTACCCTAACAATCGCCTTAATATTTAAATATAATATTTTTCTGCGTGGAATTTACACTTATAAAAACCTCTCTAATCCAACTGTTAAATCATATTTTACTAATCATATTATTTATTACCCTGAAATTATAATTCACTGCCACTGTGTATTCAATTTGACGTCCGTTGAGAGACTTGATGCCAATGACTTTACCTCGTGAAACTTTAAAATATAATAGCTTATTAAATGATGGCAGCCAAATCCTGTACTGTTTGTATATACTAGTAGATAAAACTGCATGGAAGAAATAGCAATCGTGAGAAATACAAGGCAACTTAAGGATGTACTTCGGTAAAATTAAAAAAATCTAGAATTTAAAATTGATACCATGAGTCAGAAGAGCATTAGTTAAGGAACAAAATAAGCTAAATATATTAATAGGTAATGGAGCTCCTTTTCGAAATACTTATTTCTTTTTAAATGGCGGGAAAAAGGCTGACTCGGACTTTTACCTTATATTTGCATTGGTATTATTTGGATCTCAAATAGAAAGAAAAGAAATCTAGAATCTGCTTAAATTTTGGTAAATGACCTTTTATGAGGTATTGAAGTCTTATATGAAAAAAAAATTGGTGTTAAGGGGAAAAATATTTTATCCTGTATCGTAGGAAAAAACTAAGGAGCCCGAACATCTGAAAAAAATCCATTAACCGGATCTAAATACATCCTTAATGTTTTGTGTTGATAAAACAAGATGACATTGACATTTGGAATTTGATACGACTGTCATACAAGTGAGAGGTTTAGCTAGCTATAAAACCAATTTCAATCCACCGTTTTCTACATAAGAAAATGCCTGTACCAAGTCAGGAATATGACAGTTGTTATCCATTCGCTTTTAATTTTGCCATTTGATTAGGGACTTTACTTTTTGAATTTTCCTCGGAGTTCAGTATTTTTGTGATTTTACTTTTGAATATAGATAAAGCATTGTCATTGATTTATCTTTATTCTTTTTCTGTTTAATTTTCATTATAATAAAGTTGTAACTCAATTCAACATGGAATTTAAGGTAAATGGAACAACAAAACTGTAATAATTATTATTATCAGAACCGTGATTTAAAAATTGAAAAATAGACATTGGAAACCCCGGAAAGCATTAATACGATGAAACTTAAGATGCGTTCTGACCATAAGGTACTTAAGCAGAATAGCCGAATTGATCTAATGTCAACTTTGCTGGTTTGCCCCAAAATGAAAATAAATACCGTGATTTTACAGTTTTTCAGACATAATTATCTTGTATTGAACCAGTGTACAAGTAGTAAGTATAATTCATAAGACGACCGTTATATTGGAAAGATACAAATTAAGTATTATGGAATTCCGTTTTCCAATTGAATTATTGGTATGTAGTGTCTTTTACAATTATAGATATTTAATATATGTGAAAATTGAGAAATTCATAAAATCGAAATCTTATTTATAACAAACTCAATCCCAATTCTTGTACGTGTCTATAAATAAAACAGATCTATTTTATTTTCAGAAATTTACCTGTGATAATGTAAACGTCACAAAAAATACGTCACTTTTTGTGACGTTGATCAATTCATGTGAAGCGTAGTTTATATTTCGTTTGTGGTGTCCTGGTGTGCTTTCGTAAAATCATGGAAGGTGTCCGTTGTTTTTCTGCAGTTTACATGTTTCAATGTACTATTATATTATTTATTTATGTATTTCTCTGTGCTGAGTGTTCTTGCGTTTGTTTGTGTTGTATTCCTGTCACGCAGTGTTGTCATTTTAGCGGTTACATTGACATATAGGCGGGAGGTTTGGCTAGCCATAAAACTAGGAATATGGCAGTTGTTATCAGACAGTCCGTTTCTATTCATTTTGGCGTTTGATTTTGTAATAGTTCAGTGTTTCAGTTGTTCCGTTGTTTTCCTCTGATAGTTGATGTGCTTCCTTCGGTTTTAGTTTGTTACCCGGATTTATTTTTGCATGACAATTATGACTATTGAACAGCAGTATACTACTGTTGCCTTTATTTACATCTGCAAATATAAACGGATATTACCAAATGTAGCGGTACAGAACCTGTCTTTATCTGTTCCAGGAACACATCAACATCCGTAGGCCTCGGAAATGAAATTTATCAGCACAACACAAACAATGGTCACTATCGTTATACGCTTCATGGTTATTCTGAAATAAATCGTTTTGACCAATGTATGTTGTACATATAGACTGCCATTTAAAATTATATACGTCTCTTGAAACATGTTTTACAAACATGTAATAAAGAATATCCGAGACATTTGAAAATATAATAAAGACTAAAACTATTATGTTTCGGTTAGTAATGATTTTTGTTGTTTACAGTAGACATAGAAGACGTTTTAAATGTTCTGTGATTGACACATATGATATATAAATAATGCACATGATACGCAATTGAATAGTAATTACAAAATATAATCATCTCACCAGTACCGTAACAAAATTAGCAAATTAAGGCGACAGTATTTCAGCGATGTTAATATTTTGTAAATCAATGAGGGGAATACAATGAAATGAAAGCAGATTTAAGGAGAATATATCAAATCTACGAGACAAGAACCAACAACAACCCAAAAAGTGTTGAAGATCTTGTCGACATGGCATAACTTTTGTATAAGATTTATTGACAGATATTAATACTAAAAAATGTTCAAATAAAATTTGAAATGTTTGGTCAGATGTGCAATTAATGTGTGGATACATTTTTTAAACATTGCATTGTTTTAGAAAATGCTGATATAATGAAAAGGCAAAAGGGCAAGATGATAATTTGAAAAGCAATAATATTTGGAATCTGAACAGGTTTTGACAGTGAAATACAGCTCATATCACACATGTCATATATAAAAAAAGATGGGAACAAAATTCTGATTAAACAGTGAAACACAACGTTTATCTTACCTTAAATTGTTAAATAGGGAAATGTTTCTTTATTTGAATTATTTACACGTTTATATATGCAATTGTGAACCGGATTTTGTAATAATTTTTCCCTATTAACCACTACGAAAACAACTATCCTACCGAACTGACTTTAAATAAAACTAATACTAACAATGAACACTGCCCTTTCCTTGATCTTGATATCTATATCTTTAACGGGAAGCTTAATACCAAAATTTATGATAAAAGAGATGATTTTTCATTTCCTATTGTTAATTATCCATTTTTAGATGGTGCGGTTCCTTTGTCACCATCTTATGGTGTTTATATATCTCAACTTGTTCGGTTCGCTCGTGTATGTAACAACGTATTTGATTTCAACGAAAGAAATCTCTGTATTACTGAAAAATTATTACATCAGGGTTTTCGATATCACAAACTAGTCAAAACATTTACTTAATTTTATCATCGGTACAAGGGCATCATTCGTAAATATAAATCAACATGCAGACATCTTATACGTTCAGGTATTTCACATCCAATATTTTATGGTAATATTCTGTACAAAGCACTATAATGTCGGCATTCACCTCAAAAGCTAACCAAATCTTTAAACAGACTTATTCGGAAAGGATATAGTTACGATACCGTTGTCAAGTTATTAAGGATTGCATATTTTGGTATTAATATTGATTCACTCATAGGGTCTTTGCATCGGAAATAAACACATTTATTCTAAAACCAGTTATTGGCATGATACGGGTTATGTTCTTCTCATATATTTTATGATGGTATGATACTAAATCCCTTACGGGAGGGATTGTACTTGATTTTCATATGATGAAGACATAATCTTTCAATCAGTTTAATTGAGGTCTGGAGCTGGCATGCCAGTAACTGCTTGTAGTCCTTTGTTCATTTATTTATCATTGTCATTTTGCTTAGTTTCTTTTGTTACCTATTCTGACATCGGACTCGGACTTCTTTTGAACTGAGTTTTACTGTGCGTATTGCTATGCGTTTCTTTATTCTACATTGGCTAGAGGTATAGGGGGAGGGTTGAGATCTCACAAGCATGTTTAACCCCGCCGTATTTTTGCGCCTGTCCCAAGTCAGGAGCCTCTGGCCTTTGTTAGTCTTGTATGTTTTTTCCTCAGCCCAGCTGAGGACCACCTCCGGGTGCAGGATTTTCTCGCTGCGTTGAAGACCCATCGGTGGCCTTCGGCTGTTGTCAGCTCTTTGGTCGGGTTGTTGTCTTTTTGACATATTCCCTATTTCCATTCTCAATTTTATTTAATGACAAATGTGTATGTTGTGTATCAACTCTTGTCACAAAAATCTGCTTACCTATTTGGAATGTTAAGTTGGTTTATAAATTGTTAATTTCCCATACAGGTACATCGATATAAGAATGTATATTATACAAAAGGCGGTAGACATGTTATCTTTTTAGAACTTAACATTTCTAAGTTCCAAGCTGACGTTTCTTGGTTCCAAGTTGACATTCATTAAGGAGGCAGTACTTTACCCATACTCAAAACTTGCTTATTTATTTACAAGAGACAAACCAAGGTAACACACAAAAACTGAAGGAATCGCAAAAACTTCAAAAATAAGCGAGCCTTTTGCATGTTTTACGTCGACAGAGTAAGCTTCTCCTTCGATAAATTTCTCAGTTAAAAGTTGACATTTCTAATTTACAAGCTAGCATTTCTCAGTTCCAAATTAAAATTACTCAGTTCAAAGTTGATATTTCTAATTTACAAGTTGACATTTCTCAGTTCCATGTTGGCATTTTTCAGTTTGCAGCTGACATTTTGCATATTCAAGTTGATATTTCTCAGTTCAAACTTGACATTTTCAAAGTTCCAAGTTAGAATTGCTCACATCTAAATTAAAATTTCCCTTTTTCTAAGATGAAACTGTGAACTTAAAAGTAAAAAACGTAAGAAATGTCAGCTAAGAACTGAAGAATATCAACTGGCTAATTGTTCATATTCATTCCAGTCTTCGTTCAATCCAGACTGGTTGATGACTGTTGTGTTCGCGATCTTTTTAGTAACGTATCTCCTGTAATACAGCATACAAACTGTGACAAAAGCTTTATAACTTTTCATTCAAATTATTAAAAAATTCCCAGCTACAGTAAGATGCAATCCTAACTTGTACAACAAGTTACTAGTAACTTGATAAACAGTCATTTTGACTGGACAAAGTTAACCTGCGACAGGTTTTAGGACTGTTCTGATCGGTCATAGGAACAAAATCATGTCAACTTGGTCTTGGTCCTAGGACTGTTTTTATGACTGCCGAAAAAGTTAACTTTAGACAGGTCCTCTTCGAAACCAGTCCTGCAATAAGTTGACCTCGATTTTGACTATTGAACCAGACCTGATATAAAGCTAACTATTGACTGATCTGATCATCACTTAGTTAACTTGTGACCAGGACCGCTTTATATCGATTGATAAAATATTTTAAAATATCTTTTTGTTTTGATATGAAAATACAGTAAGCATATTACTTTGTTTGGAATAAAATTTTGTCCGTGATCAACCTTTAAACGAATTGAAAACGATATGGGTAAACCAGTAAAAATCAAACAACTAACGTTCATTGGATATTTCAATAGATATGAAATTATTCAAGCCATCTATATATTTTATAAAATGTATAAGCTGTTATCAGTTTTAAAATGTTGCATGCCGTGTACATTTTTAAGCTTAAACACTTGGATATCAGATAACAATGATTAACAATGGCACAAAAGCAGGAAATTTAGATTATATAAAATGCACATGATAAATGAAAACAAAATTAGTGTGCAGTTACTAAAAGTTTTGGTCGGCCTCAATTCTGACTTCCCACATTTCTACTGTTTTTTTTTCTGAATCAATTTAGAATGTCAGTATATGTCCTCTTTTTATTCAAAATACTGAACCGTCACAAAAAATCAGTAGTTTTTATATCCCAGGCTGGTTTGTATAGCAAACCTTTTTACCTTATCAAGCAAGACTGACCATATTTGCACTTTATTATGAAAACTATATCGCCGCACCAAAAATCAATAAATTTGTTAACTCAGAATGGACTGTATAACACAAATGACGGCAATATTTGAACACAATGACAACAATATGTTGTCTGCATCAATTTAGAATGCCCGCTTTTCCTCATTATATGTAAAATACTAAACAGACACAAAAGAATTAATAGTTTTTCACATTCCGGAATGGTTTGTATAACAAAACTAATTGACCACATCAACAAAAACTGACCATATTTGCAAAATGATTTTGACGTTTCATAATCAGTAAATTTGTTAACGCAGGAAAGATTGTTTGGTTTAATACAAATGACAGCAATAGAAGTAGACTCTGACTACAATATTTTGTCTGAATCAATTCAGAGTGCCAGTATATGTCCTCTTTTTATTCAAAATACCTAGTAGTCCCCAAAAAAAAGAGTAGTTTTCATATCTCAAGCGAGTTTGTATAGCAAAAAATAGTTGACCACATCAACAATAACTGACCATATTAGCACTTTGTTATGAAAATTATATAGCCGCACCATAAATCAAAACATTTGTTTACTCAGAATGGACTGTATACAATGACTACAAAATTTTGTCTGCATCAATTTAGAATGCCCTCATTTCCTCTCTATATATAAAATAATGAACAGACACAAAAGAATTATTCTAAATAATACATTTTGAAGAAAAAAAGAATTACCGACACGAAACAATATTTAAAATGCTTTCCAGGAGCTACAGATAGCTAGCTTTTTTATCTCTATGTCATGTTCCCTTCATAAATGGCTGCGCCAATGTGAGTTGGTTTAATGCAATATAACCTTGAAAACGCTGTTTTCATATGGGAGAGAACTATATATGCAATGATGAGTTTATTTGACAAGACGTATATCCATTATAATATATTTTTACAGAGCACCGATAATTAGATTTCTAAAAGTATACAAATGAGATACAAAATAAATAGCCTTGCTTAACGAAGACAAATAAATTTGTCTTTTTACATACACAATACACATTAAATATTTACACTCACGAAATGAAATACTTCGTTAACCTTAAATAGTTTTTTTGAAAGGCTGAAATAAAATTACAAAATCGCATGATTGATGTAGAAAATTTTACAACGTATATTTAAAATACATAACGTCCAAAAGAAATCATTAACAATGAATGGACCCTCTATAATATATCAATTTTTCGTACCTATTTAAGATAAAACACCAC